AAAAAATTATTCCTGCTATCTCTATAAGAGCAAAAAGCCAGAAGAGTTCTGAAAAGTGAATTTTCAAGAGAAAACTGGTACACATTTTAATATTCTGAAACACTTACATGAGAAAAAACTTTTAAAATGAAAAAATATATAAAAAAAAAAAAAAAAAAAAAAAAAAGAGAGAGAGAGAGAGAGAGAACTGAAATTTATTTTTAATAATTACAGTGTCATTTTTGCTTTTTTTTTCAGAACTGTTTTGCAAACTGCACTTTATAACATTTTACTACCTTGCTTATTTTTCAAAATCAAAATATTTAGAAGTTACCAAAATGGACAGTAATGTCACTTTTAAAAATGTCTTATTTTAATATTATTTCTGAAATATAATTTTAATTTATTATCGTTATTTTTATGATACTTATCAATGTTATTTATGTTTGTAGAAAAACTGTCAAATTTTGCAAATCTAAATAAAAAATTTCGTATACAATCCAATTTTGAAATTGCCAAAATGTTAATAAGTTCTAATTCAGAAGTCAAACAACAATAATAACTGTTAATAAGTTGCCAAATTTAGCACCACATAAAAAAAAGAACTCTTAAAACACAAAGGGAAAAGTTGTTTCTGATGTAATATCTTATGAATTCTTCATTTGAAAAAAAGAAATGTTGTTTCAATCGAAGCAGGGATTCATACTTCTAAAACTCCAGTATTCATATTAAGAAGTTGGAAAGAATTCAAACATTAACCCATCAAATACACATTTGTCAATATATGGCCAAAAAATTTTTCCTCCAAAATGTGAATTAATACTCAACATGGTAATCATAAGAAAAACAAACAGAAATGTCAGATGAGTAAAATTAAGAACCTTTTGCCAGTTTTGGCTGAAATTAAGGACTTTTAAAAACCAAAATCTAGTTTCAAAAAGCCTAAGGACTTTTACGGATGACATGGAAGCTGTAACTTATATTTATACACTCATGTCCAAAATTATGTTTACATGCATAAATTCACGGATTTCTCAGAGACTATGACTTATAATTTAATGAATTTTCATGGAATCATACATAACATGATGACACATAAAAATGCAACAGAAAAAATTGAAGATCACCTTATATGATATAAAATTGTAGCATGAAACAATAAAAATGGTAATAAAGTGTGACAAAGAGAGTTAAGAAAAAAAGGAATGATTCAGAAAAAGAATTAAGTCTTACGAATTTAATATGGAATATGATCTCCCCTGACTTGTACACACATATCACAACGTGTTTTAAGGCTGGAAATAACGTTGTTAACCACAGTTTGGGGAATTAATCTCCACTCTTCCAGCAATGCCGTCTTCTGAGCATTTACATCTCTAGGAGGAGGATGTATACGTGCAATTGCTCTTCCAAGGTAGTCCCATAAGTTCTCTATCGGGTTAAGGTCAGGAGAGTTTGGTGGCCAAGGTATTCGCTTAATGTCTTCACTTTCAAGGAATTCATCAACGAGGTTTGCTCGATGTGGACGGGCATTATCATCCATAAATAAAAAGTCAGGTCCATATGCACCCCTGAAAAGTCTTACATAAGGATCTAAGACCTCATCCCGATATATCTGGCCTGTCACAGATCCGCTGCTGAATACGTGTAGGGGCGTACGTCCATCGATCATTAATCCACCCCATACCATCACACCTCCACTACCGAAACGGTCACGTTCCACAATGTTCGAGGGATCATTTCGTGTTCCTGACTCCCTCCAGATGTAAACACGTTTAGAATCACCAGTTAAACTAAACCGCGACTCATCAGTAAAGAGAACATGGGACCATTGATGTTCAGTCCAGTTTTGATGTTCTTTACACCAATTAAAGCGATCCCTCTTTTTCTGTGAAGACAGTAAAACACATACCCTTGGCTTTCTGGCATAAAGGCCTTTTTCATTAAGCCTTCTGTATATTGTTTGCCGTGATGCAACAGTTCCAGTGGCGGCTGCAAGCTCTGAACTTAACTGCCGAGCAGTAGCCTTTCTGTTACGACGGGCAGTTAATGCCAGATACCGAACTTCACAAGCAGTTGTCATTCGTTTCCGACCTTGTCCAGGCCTCCTTACAACACTTCCATCATTTTGAAACTGTTTCTATAGCTTAGAGACTGTCTGTCTTGAAATATTCAGACATGTGGCTGTTTCCATGATTGACTGCCCTGCTTCTAAACGGCCGATAATTCGCCACTTTACAGATTCTTCCAAATGATACCTCGAAGCCATAAGAAACCGCTTTGAGTCCCTACACACTGAAATCAAACGCTATGTTGCAGAAATTCACTCAAATATTCAGTTTGGGCAAAGCGCTCGATTCACCCTTGGATGACGTCTAATTAGGCTTGGTTTTCACACATTCCCTGCAAATACGGATCACATTGATTCGATATTTCATTGAATATCATCATTTTTGGGTATGTAAAGATAATTTTGGACATGAGTGTATAAATATATATACTATAATCTTATATTTTGACAGTAGATAATGGAAAATAGAAAATTAGTGGCTATGCTCTTTAGTTATCTTCATGATTTAGTAATTTAATTTTAAAGAAATATTTAAGTGTTTACATATTTTAGATTACACCAAATAAATTACACATTGTTGTGGATAAAAACAATTCTAAATTCCTGTAATATCATCCACTACTACTGCTGTTATCCCATGCAGTATCCTTTCCTTTTTGCATTTTCATAGAAACTGTTTTCTATTTTGATGGTTTATCACAGTAATTCTTCTGCCATTTGGCAATAAACAAATTAAACAAATTTTTAGGCAAGACTCAACTGATCTGCAACTAGGTTAATTGGAAATTGACAATATGACTTTTCTTGCAACTTCATCTAATTAAAATTAAATTAAAAATATCTTCTATCACAGTAATCGCAATTCAAGTGTTTCGCACACCATACATGGTGTATTGGATAGCATGGTTATACAACAACTGTGTTTCATAAAAATTTTCATTTTAAATTAAAGATCCAATTAATTCTTGACTTCTGTTAATTATTTCTCATATATAGAATTCACTGCTAATCTTTCCCCTTATATTCACTTCATTCTGTTTTCCAAAATTCAATAAAATTTCAAGAGAACTATATAGCCAGAAAAAGTGTAAGAACTAAATGATCTACACATGCTCTTAACCTAGAGCTAATATAAACTTGCAGATTGAGTACTTTTTGACTCATTTCATAATTAGCTAATAAGCACACTTTCCACATGGACCAGCCGCCTCATAGGTGGAGGAAAAAAGTATTTTTTGATTATTTTTATCCCCACCAAAAAGTCACAAAACAGTACTGATGAGACAATGCACTATGTCACTAAGAAGTATTCATGAAGCAACCCAGTACCATAAAAAAACATATTTATGTAGTAACACAAGTATGCAGACAGCATCCTCCCAAACAGTTTTCCACTTCTCCTGACATTTTTATCAATATGACTTCAGATTATGATCCCTCATATATACTGCTGTTTTTCTCCTCTAACAAAATGTTAAACTTAGCTTTCTGCATTTGTCTAGCGTAACATAGCTAACATAATGCACCTCTTTTCTTCTTTTCAATTTAGGATTTTGGTGACAAGGTTTAATGCAATGCTCTGATTGATTTGTGCAATTCTCTGATTTGTTTTCATAGCAAAAACAGAACACTCTGTACATCAGGAGAACAACAGTGCAAAAAACATGAAGTCTGTGTCTTAGATAGAAAAAAGTAATGTAAAAAAAATAGGTGGCACAAGATACACTGAGTAACTAGACATAAAGAGACTTAAACTAATGTTTTCCTTTAAAGTTACAAATGAGTACATGAATGCTTTCTAAAGTTTCTAGGGAGTTCATGACTTTTTTGTAGGGGTTGTGGATAATCAGAAAGTACCTTAGTTTGTTAAACTCCTTACTTGTGCAGAATAAACAAGGCTTAGAAATATATACATTAAAATACAGTAATATATAAAATGTTGGTTTTTTTTTTTTTTTTTTTTTTTTTTTTTTTGTTATGCTTTACGCATGCGCGTTTAATGTATAACGGATGATATAAGCTAGGCTAAAATTATCTTTACTGATTCTAAGGCATTTCAGTTAATGTTGCAGATTGCGCTGTTCCTTAATCTTCTAACTGGATTCGGCTTATTATTTTTTGCAGACAGTTAGAGCAATTTTATAAAAATTAAGCTTGCACTTTCGATTATGTCAAAAAGCAAAAAGAGTTTTCAATTCTGGAGCTGCCAAAGGATCTACAAAGCAAAAGCATGTTTCGATGTCCATCAAACAAAAAGTGGAATTGCTGCAAAAAATGGATAAAGGCATATTCGTCTCCAAATTATGCAAGGAGTATGACCTTGGATGCTTGACATAATTTATGGCTAGACACCATATTTGGTTAATCTTTGGATTATGGTAACTTGGCGATTTTTTGGCGACCAACCCTGCTACAGCAACCTGCTAGTTTTTGTTTGGACACCATTTCGTTTTCACGAAGTTAAGGCATGTTTTTTTTTTTTTACTCAACATTTCGAACATTTTTTTCTAACAATCTGCTAGCCGAATTACGCTTATGCTAGAACTTTTATGAAACAAAAGTGCTTAATCATGACGAAGATTAGGTGCGAAATTGGGTCAAAGTGCAGAATCACCCACTGCTTGTCGCGTTTTTACGAATTGCACATACACAGTATCATCCATGTACACGTCGACCTATTTTCACTTAAAAAAACATCCTAGAATTGCATAAAAATGGCATTGTGCACACTCTTGACTATATCCATGTACACTGCTAAAATCCTAGCTAGTAACCTTTATCGCCTTACCAAAATGTTGCCAAACTACCTGTTACCATATTCCAAAGATTAGCTTTTAACTTATACATAAAAAGCCTACCAGTGGCTAATAGATAACAGTGTTGAATGACAAAATGATACACATGAGTTTTATTAAGAATCCTCAATAGTATTATGATTCTGGAAACATACCTGAGCATTCCAAAGAATGACTTTACCATCAGTGGAACAAGATGCTAAAAGAGTTCCAAATGGTGAAAAACGAACACAGTTAACTCCATATGTATGATCAAGAAGAGGAGAAAAGTCAGTCTCCTTGAAGTACTTTGATTCTTTTCTCCATACTTTAATACTCTTATCAGCTGAGCAAGTTGCCAAATTAAATCCAAAAAAGTCACAACCAGTGACATCACTGTTATGTCCTTCTAGCACTTGAAATTTTTCCGCTTCATGCATTATCAGAGTAAGCTTAGACTGCAAAAGATACAGAAAGCAATAAGAAATATTTGTTCATTAATCATATTTTTAAATATATTGATCACAGTTTAGCCAATTAAAAATAACTTTTCATGTGTTTTCTATTAAGTTATATACTGTTATCAACAAAATCAGTAGTCTAATTAACAAAATTTTAGTGTAATACACATAAAAGTAAATTTTCAAATATTCATAAACAAAAAAACTAAAATTCATTATATAGTCCTGTAAACAAAGTACTGATTTCATTTTAGTTTGCATTCCAATACGTACATGTTAGTAATTAATTTTTTTTTTTCCCTACGAAAGTTTAACCAACAAACCTACAACAAAATTTATCATCAAACTACATCACAAACGAAAAGTTAGTCTTTATATTTATTGCAAAATAATTATCACCATATTGCTCTTATTTAAGACATAAGGATAAAGAATGCAATCTATTTCTTAAATTTAAGGGGAAAGTATTTTCACTTAAAAAGTCAAAGGAAATTGACAAAAATCTAATTCCTTTTACTCTTGTAAAAAGCGCCAAACATAACGCTAAATAAGTGGGCGATTCTGCACTTCACCCAAATTTAAAATTGAAGTACGAATCTCTGTATTGACAAACAAATTTGGGATATTAATGAATCGCAAATTTTTATGAATTATTAAATACAGAAATTTTTTTACAAAGTTCAACTATTTTAAATTACCTGAAAAAGCTGAGTTTCCTATATATGCAGTATATAATACGGTTTTTATGCATTTAATTATTCAAAATAATACAAAGTTATCAGATAAGAATAACTAGCGAGAGATATACTATAAATATGGTTAAACTATTAACAGAATGTTGCCTTTAAATCTAGGTTGGCTCAAATTTACGAAAACTTTTATTGATTGATTTATCTACCGATAAACACAACATCTGCTTCCACAACAACAAATTTGCTACATTGTGAGAAATCGAATTCGGTGGACGAACGAAAATTGTAAACAGAGTATGCGGTTACGGCTTAGAAGAAGAACAACAATCAATATATAAAATACTTTTAAAAATCTAAAATTATTTTACTTAGTACTATTTCACTCTGAGTACAAACATTACAACATAATCAAAACACAATTAGTGAATTCATTGACATGCTCAAGCAGAAACAGCTAATTTGCTTGGTCTTTACAGGTTATAAACGCAGTGGCTTCAGATTCTGCTTTCTCCGCATTTAAGTGTAGCTCATTAATTTATTAAGTCTTCCTCTTTTTTTTTCAGTCTGAGAATTATTTACCATAAAATTATGCAACGCAGTCTGAAGAGCAATCTTCCTCAAAAAAGGCTTGAAAAAAATATTTAAGTAAATGTTTTTATTTTTCCCCTGCCTGCCGGACACATGCAACAGATATTACGACCGAATTCGTTGGTCATTCAACTGAGGTCATTTAGCTTTTACATCGGTGGGAGATAAGTCTCCTCGAGAGGTATACAGGAGCCTTAGTGGGAGACTGAGAGAACTCCGGGAGTCAGATTCGAAGGTCTTCCGTCTCTCCTTCCTTAGCACCAACGTTGGAGAGGACTTGAACCTCTACAGTATTTGTAAGTGCTCTGGCATCGCAAAGACATTGCACTTACATCTATGACTTCAGAAATCGAAACCGGGCAAAAAGCATTGGCACCGGTTCCTTCTTTAACTATGCAAGCAGGACAACCATTTAAAGCGTATAGTACTGTAATCTTTAAAGCTAATGAAATTCTTAGACTTTTTTGCATAAATAAATGAAACCTGAAACAGCCAAAACAGAGCTAAGTAAGAAGCAATACTACAGTATCACTAAATTCATGAAACAATAAATATACGAATAATTAACTACTTTAATTATTCCTCTTATGATATTAAAATATAGTCCAACCCGAGACCCGTGGATTAATGTGAGTAAACTTAGTTACAGTAATAAAACTTGTTTATCTTAAAATCCTACGCTTCATCAGTAATTATAGCTTTTAAAAAGTATCAGTCTTTAGTTGCTGGAGTGGTAGCTTCACAAGTGCACAGTAAGTTTAAATGCTTTTCAAATGCAAGATCATAGATGCTTAGTAACTATTTTAAATCAGTAGTAATCATCATGCCCAGCAGCTATTAAACTATCAAAACATTTTTTTAAATCCTAGATACAAGTTATGAATTAAAACAATCAAGAGTTAATAATGGTTTAGAATTACTTGAATTTTTTGAATTATCGACAGCTTCTGATTATTCCTAAGGAAAAAAAAAAACACGTAAAAAATAATAAAATGATGGAAAACCAAAACGTATATCTTTTGGAAGTTAGTTAGCCTTTAAATTCTTCGCATCGCTGTAAATGGGAAAACGGGACTAATCAGCTAGTAGAGGTTTCTTATTTCAAGTGGAAACTTGCCCAAAGTCCGCTTGAGAGTCGATGTTGGCTCGAGACGTAATGCGACGGAAGTTGCAGATAGAAAATAAAAGGAAAGTTCAAAATAATTTAACTGCTCATTCTGATGATAAAATGCAACTGGAACCTCAGGCGGATGAAGCTTCAGAAATTCAGGTGGTGATGACAAGAGACATATTCGAGTGATGTCTTCTAAACAAGAACCCGATGAACCCTCAGAGCGCAGTCAATGGCCGTATAGAATGGCCATTGACTGCGCTCTGAGGAATGATGTTGAAGGGGCATTATTCCAGCAAGTTATAGTCTTCGATTAGGGCCTAAGAAAAGGGTTTGAAAGGCGCTATCCGGTATGGGCGTCCAACATCAGCCTGAGTGTCAGCAAAGGGCAAGTTGCCATCAGTTGCATGAAATTGTGGTGGCCGCAGAGCATTTAAGAGGTTTGTAGCCACGGAGAGACAGTAGATCTGCTTGGGAAAATGTAACTTTGAAAAATCAGCCGCTTTTATTTTAATTCTACCCCAAAGAGGTTAGAATAAAAGGAGATAGAGCTCGCAGTTGCTTCCACTATCTGAAAATTAAACCTGCCTAACAAGGGGCAGCCATGTTTACGAGATTGAAACAATGCTGTATGGCAATGAAATGTATTTGTTTCTAGGACGTTCCATGCATCTATTTTTAACTATAATTTATGAAATTTCTAATGAAATTCCCCTTTTGTTAAACTATTTCAAAGTAATGAAGATATCTATAATTTGCCAAAAAAATTAATTATCATAGAGAAAATTATTAGGAAGTAGTGTGAAATCTAAATACATGTGTATAGTAGCAGTAGTAACCATAGGTAGCCGGGAGACGGATGCGACGTCACAGAAAAAGGATGTAACAAACGCCATCTTAGATTAAACCAGAAGTAACGCAGACGTGTTTGAATGACGTCATATGTAATAATTTTTTTGCGTGGCAACTACAATATTTTATCAATTTTATTTATCACAACAACGATTTTTTTCGTTTTTGTGACAAAGACCTCTTAAACCCCACGTGTTTGGAAGGATATCAATTGAAATTTATTTTTCTTTGTTTAATACATCATTATTTTTAACTGAGCATCTCATTATTCAATCTGCCAATATTTTTAATCGAATCCATTATTTGTTTTAATAAAACTACTTTTTCCACGAATTTTAAAAACCTGGGATTCAAACCAGCCACCTCTGGTAACGGACACGCTCACGATACCACAAAGCCGCAATTTTCCTTTTGAATTCTGTTATCTGACCATGTCCACGAGCGAAAAAAACCATGTTGTCGCTAGGCTGAAGGATTTCGCATACGCAAGCCTGTTCCAACATGCCCAAACCGCTTTGTGTTTCCTCCAAGGCTAACGAATATATTCTTAAAGAACAATCCGCTAATATCATTCCTTATTCAACCAACCTGTTTACATCTTGAAGTTGACATACATTTGTTTACTTTTTTCTAAATCATTACTTTAAATTTATTCTTTGTTGTTTTAAGTGTAAAATTTCCTTTTTTATTTTACAAACATACTTTTTTATTGTTTTCTTTTTCCTTCTCATTCTTACGAAATTAAATTTATTAATATTTCCATCCCAAGTTTATGCTTTTTGCAAACACACAGTTTACTTTTAATTTTTGAAAATTAATATTTCCACATTTTTATTTCCATAAAAGTAAATTTATTTTTTGCATATCGTTTCACTTTTTTATTACACAATTTTTTTCCCAAATTTTACCCCAAATTTAAGTCTCAATTTTTTTACTTTACAAAAGCAATATTTATTTTCAAATGTTTTAATTTTTACTTTTCGCTTTTTATTTAAAAATTTGTTTCTGTTTTTTTTTTATTTTTTACAAAAGTAATATTTATTTCTAAATTTGATTTTTTTTCACTTTTATTTTTCACAAATGTAATTTTTTAAAAAATTTTTTCTGTACTATATTTTACTGAGTAAACTTTAATTTTTTTCTTTTTGCTAATTTCTCTTTCGTTCACACAAATATATTTTTTTTTATACTTTAAAAATTTTTCTTGTCATATTTTTGTTTTACGCTTAACTTTTGTCTCCTCCTTTTAAATATTTTGTAGAATTCCTCACTTTTTTTGTACTAAAATGAACGATGAGTGAACATGTTAGCGACTTATCGCTGAGTTCAAACAACTAAGACGTAGAGACTCGAGAAGGGTTAACTACACTTTATTTCACTCAAAATAAGATGAATAATCGGCTTCTTTCTTCGGGCTTATAACAAAGCCTCTACTTGGGCTTAAACTCAAAAATAAGAAATAAGAGCTAACTTAGAACTAACTAAAAGAGACTTAGCCGAAGATAACACAAATATAACGCAGTTGGCCCCTAATTTAAACTTGCCAGCGAATATCAAAAGGCACGTAATATATGGCCGAGCGTAACCGCTTCTAGAGAGACTTAGCCCGGAGGCAAACGCGCACCGCTCAGGATTCCATCTCTCTCTCTCTCGAAGTAAACTGAACGTTCCTTAAATACTACCTCTAACTCATTTGCATTCAAAGCGGCCAGACCCCCCCCCCAATGTAAACATCTGAGTCTCCAAAACAAGGTCAAGGGATGCTTTTTTCTGCTTATATTCTGAACGAAACAAGTCAGGGATTAACAACTTTAACCAGTTTCCTGCACTGTGCATAAAAAATAATGAAATATTTTAAACTTTTTTGGGCCATTTGCTTTTTTTATTCTTTTTTTCTTTGCATTTATTTATACTAAAATCTACCGCATTCATTGATTGTATTTAGGCACATACTGATTAATAAGAGTAATTTCGGCTTCTGAAGCTTCAGATTCAGAAATATTACAACTCAAAAGCACAAAAATGTTAGAATGACGACAGCGTATAGCATAAGGAAGCAAAGGTGAAAAATTACTTTTTTCGCTGATTTTTTATAAATTCGCAGATTGGTAGCAAAATTATAATGCTTATCATATGAAGTTTTAATATTTTTATATTGATTACAACCATTGGTTTCCATTACATAAACTGTAAGAAAATATGTCGTATTAATTTACCATTTTTCGTAAAATTTAACCATGTATTTACTTAATTTTTGCAATTTTTTCATTTATAGCGCCAAAAGAACATAACAGAACTTTTTTGGAAAATGTCCATATGTCTCAAACATTATTTCTTTAGTATATTTGAAGTAACCAATTAAACATATAGTAACCTTTTTACTCGAATTTAAATTTGCATATAATATTTTTTATATTTTGTAAATGATATTTTTAACCAAGAATACTTGAGTTATTTGCAGCATTAGTTCTTGATGACATATTTGTTCAATATGTAACTGAATTATAAAACTGAGTAATATACGTTTATTAATCCCTTTAGATTTATAATTTAGATATCTACTCAGCAAAGTTTGAGCTTAATAACAGATTTCACTTATTTCGCCTCGATAATGCATAACGAAACCAAAACAGTCAAGGATGTTCATTTTTGCATAAGGCAAAGTTGTTTAAAAAGTCCCCCCCCTCCCCCGAGGAAAAAGTATGAATCATTTAGTTATTAAAAAAT